TTTCCCCCCCCCCCCCCCCCCACTCTCCTTCTTCCACTCCAACGACACGCCACCGCCTTCTACGGCCCCACCGCCACCAAAACCACCGCTACTGAAACCAGATCGAGCGCGAACGAGCCGAGGCCGAGGAACGAGCTGAGGCCGAAAAGGTCGTCGCCGAATGCCTGTCCAGCCTGGCCGACAAAGTCCAGCACCGCGCCGACATCGCGGAAGCCAGGGAGGAGGCGGAGCAACGGGCGCGCGATGCCGCGCTCGAAGTCGAGCGCGCCGAGGCCGCGGCCGCCCGCGTGGAGGTAGAGACCGCGCTTCGGCTGGCCGTCGAGTCGCTGGAGAGGGAAGCGGCCGTGGCATCGGCGAGGGAGGAGGCCGACCGGTTGGCTGCAGAGGCCGCCGAGGGTCGCGCCGCCGCGGAGACGAGGGCGGCGGAAGCGGCCGAGCGAGCCGAGGAGGCGCTGCGCCTGGTGGCAGCTGCGGAGGAAGACGCCAGGGCCAAGGAGGAGAGCCTCAGGGAGGCGGCCCGGGCGAAGGAGGAGGAGGAGGCGCGGAGGGAGGAGGAGCGCGGGGCGGCGAGACGCAAGGCCGAGGAGGAGGAGCGGGAGAAGGAGGGCGCGAGGCGAGCTCTCCAGGCGGAGGCCGAGGCCCTGCGGTCGAAGCTGCAGGAGGCCGGCGAGGAGGCCGCGGAGAGGGCGCAAGAGGAGGCGCAGGCGAGGGCGCGGAAGGAGGCGGAGGAAGCGAGGCTGATGGAAGAGCAGGCTGAGAGGGAGGCCAGGCTAGCGGCCGAGGCTGAGGGTTCGGCGAAGAGGGAGGCAGAGGCCAGGGAGGCGGCCCGCCTGGAGGCCCTGGTCTGGGAGGAGAAGTTTCAGGCCCTGCAGAGGGAGAGGGAGCAGGAGGCGCAGCGGGCGAGGGAGGAGATGGAGAGGGCGGTCGAGGAGGCGAGGGAGTTCGAGAGGTCGAAGGCGTTGGCGCTGCGCGCGGCTGAGGCAAGAGGATGTGGAGGTTGTTGTTCCGCTGATGTGGGCTTGGCGGTGCCGCGGTTTTTGTGGCAGGTGTTCGGGCTCCTTGGGAGCGAGGCGTGCTGCGATAAGTATGACGTGGTTGGCCCCAGGCCGTAGGAGGAATGGTGAAATGTTGTACAGAATTCTGTCTCCCTCTTGGGTGTTTTGACTTTTGTCCTTGCAGAATTTACGTTCTCGTCGTTGTTGTCGTTGTTGTTGTTCTTCTTGTTCTTCTTGTTCTTCTTGTTGCTGTTGTGCTTTTGTTGTTATTGGCACTTTCGAGGTTGATAGGTAGATGTGTTTCATGTACTGCTGCCGTACCGCGAGTTTTATCCCTTGTCGATGGTGCCGTACGATTGCAGTGCACCTTCTCGTTGTTGTTGTGGTTGAAACCGTTCGATTTTGAGAGGCTTGTTTACAAGCTGTTGCCGTGTGGCGAGTTTCACCCCTTGGTGGTATCATGTTTGCCGTTGTGGTTGTTGTTGTTGTTGCTATTCCCCCATTCGAGTTTGAGGTGTGTTTTTATGTTCCGCTGCCGTGCGGTAATGTCCGTCCCTGTTGGTGATACCATACTACGTTCGTTCATGTTGATGTTGATGTTGTTGCCACTTTGGAATTCGAGGGCTTGTTTAGAAGCTGCTGCCCTGTGGCGAGTTTCTCCCTGTTGGTGGCACCATATAATACGTTGTTGTTGTTGTTGTTGTTGTTGCTATTCCCCCATTCGAGTTTGAGAGACGTGTTAATTTGCGGCTGCCGTGCGGCGGGGTTCGTCCCTGTTGGTGATACCGTCCTAGTGTACGTTGTCGTTGTTGTTTGTTGTTGTTGTTGTTGCCCCTTTGGAGAGGCGTGTTGATATACTGCTGCCGTGCGGCGAGTTTTGCCCCTGTTGGCGATACCATCCTATTTAGTGTAAGTTCTCGTTGTTTTCGTTTGTTGTTGTCCCCCCGTTCCAGTTTGAGAGTTGTGTTACCACACTGCTGCCGTGCGGCGAGTTTTGCCCCTGTTGGCGATGCCATCCTATTTAGTGTTCGTTCTCGTTGTGCTTGTTGTTGTTGTTATCCCGTTCCAGTTTGAGAGTTGTGTTAATAAGCTGTTGCCGTGCGGCAATTTTGGCCTCTGTTGGCGATACCACCCTAGTTACTCGTCCCTGTGGGAACGGTATGAATCCCGTGGTGGTTTTAGGCTGAGAAGAGGTGGGAGTGTTTGAAGCAGCGCTTCCCTCCACAGCAGTAAGGTTGCAGTTTGGTTGTATTTAGTCGCCTGGTGGCAGTCTAGAGAGCGGGCAGGCGTTTGCTCTGCCCCCTGTGACCCTGTCACTCTGTGATTGTGATCGAATGTCTCGATATTAGCAAACCAGATGTGCAGCCATTAGTGAACAGCCAGCTTGACGGGAGGGGCCCCCGTGTCTCACACGTATTGAGACATGGTTGTTGTCCTGTTGTCCTGTTGTCGTGTTGGTGGTGTTGGTGGTGCCCCTGCCTTGTGGAGAGAGACTCTTTTAGGCCTGGTCATGCTTGCACGGCATTGGAGGGGCGTGGCGCGTGCGCTGTGGTTGTGGTTTTGGCGTTGGCCTGTGACAACGATGGTGTGTCCGGTCACATGTAAGTTTTGCCTCGAGTACCGAGGCGCGTCACGCCCAACAGCAATGGGTTGAAGACGTTTTCCTGCGTTTTTCCCGCTCGTCCTCCTTGTCGTGTGCTTTTTTGCCCCCGTTTTTTGTGTGTTCGGCGGTTGCATCTAGAAGAGTGGGGGAGATATTGTCGCTTTGCCAGACACCAGAATGCAGAGCGTAGAAAAACAACGAGCATGCTCGTACTCTTTATTCTGTCCCGAAACGTGACGGAACACCGTCCACGCAAATTTTCCCTCCAAGGAAGCGGAACGGGCGGTATCGTGCCACCACGATGGTGGCGTTCCTCCCTGCCCGGATGTTGTGCGCCATGTGTGTGTTTATGTCTCGTTCGAACCCGTCCCCTATTGTATCTGGAAGGAGAAAACGGGCCTCTCTCATGTATCGGCTGGCTGCCAATTGTTTTTTTACTTGAGCGGTCAACGTAGAGAACCTTTCGTTTTCTGTGCAATTTTTGTGTGAGGCCCTTCTTCGGCTACAGTACAGCCATGTGCCTGAATCTAAAACGCCGCGCCTCTCCCTTTTGCTGAGGAGTACATGCGATGGTACGCATACGGTGTGTTTGTTTTGCTCGAAATGATTAGGTGCAACCCAAAACCCACCCCGGCACCCATCAGGTCTGCCTATTTCCATTGGGGATTGTTGCTCGTGTGTTTTCCCTCTTTCATGTCTGGGGATCGCGAACGGAGCGAATTATTATTTTGTCTCATGCTCGTGCTGTTCTCGCCTTGGGTGTCCTTTGCCGTGCCTCAGACCTTCTGTCGTTCTTTACCTCCCTCTGTCACACACACACACACACACACCCTCCCGCTCACCCTCCCTCCATCCTGTTCTCAACCTTCGTTTCTCCCTGCTCTCGACGCGGCCATACACTCCGATCATGGTGGTCTTTGTTTGCACGGACTTTTTTTTGCAGGAGCATCCGCTTGAGGGAGCCAACGTTTCCTATGAGGACGTGGACGACCGAGAGGGGAAACAATGGTGGCAGTGCGTGTTCTGCACTCCAGATGTGAGCAGCCCTTTTGCCGTTGCGAGAGCCATGGGTTCATATGGAGTTATCATAGTTTGTGCAAGTCCTTGTGAGCTACAGTATCACACTGGTATTTGAGCACTGTCGCACAAATTTTTTTCCAGGGTACACCTCGGGAAAATTCCCGCCGTGGTGGGCGGTCCCGGTACTGGCGGGAATTACCGCCACATTCGGTGGTACCGGGAACCGCCGAAGGCGGTACCGCCGAAAAACGAAAAACCGCCGACCGCCTAAAAAGTACCGCCACATTGCAGTACCGCCGAAAAAGTACCGCCAAAAAACGAAGTACCGGGAACCGCCTAAAAAGAACCGCCATATTGCAGTACCGCCGAAAAAGTACCGCCGTAATGCAGTACCGCCAAAATGGTACCGCCAAAAAACGAAGTACCGGGAACCGCCAAAAGAGAACCGCCATACTGCAGTACCGCCGAAAAAATACCGCCGTACTGCAGTACCGCCAAAATGGTCCATATCTTAGTTTTGCCCTCTAAAGTAGCATAGGGCACTAACTCCAACGCCATGTCTCGCGCAGAACAGTGGTTCGAGTCCAACTGGCGTGCGTCTTTGTTCACATTTATTCTTTTTTCTTTTTTTTCTTTTTCTTAATATGACACCTTTCGTCATACATATATATATATATATATATTTTGGTTCTGCCTTGTTCCTTTTCGGCGGAACCTCTTTCATCTGTCGCCGATCGTCAGCTGTTCGAACACACCCGTGGCATTCGACGGATCGCGTTTTGGCGCGCTCTTCTCTTTTTGCATTTTCTTTCTTCTTTTGGTTGCCTTTCGTTTGTCCATGAACAGCTCGATTTGACCATGGGTATGCATCGCATCGTGAATTCACGAAATCATATGGGAGATGCAGGCTCTCAAGCGTACATACAAGAGACAAAAAGAGACCCATCCTGAAAGAGAGGAAAGAGGTTCGCCGGTTGATGGGGCGCCAAGGGCACCGAAATGTAGTTTGGCATCGTCATATTTTATATTTTGATATTCTGGTCTACTCGCAACCCTCGAAGGCGGTGCCGCCATATTTCAGTACCGCCACCAAAAAACCGCCATATTTGGCAGTACCGGGAACCGCCGAAGACGGTACCGCCATATTTCAGTACCGCCAGAAAAATACCGCCATATTTGGCAGTACCGGGAACCGCCGAAGGCGGTACCGCCATATTTCAGTACCGTCAGAAAAATACCGCCGTATTTGGCAGTACCGGGAACCGCCTAAAAAAAACCGCCATATTGACGTACCGCCAAAAAAGTACCGCCATTGTTGGCAGTACCGGGAACCGCCAAAGGCGGTACCGCCGGAAAACGAAATACCGCCAACCGCCAAAAAAGTACCGCCACATTGACGTACCGCCCCGCCTGGATCCGCCTAAAAAACTAGTACCGAGGTGTACCCTGTTTTTTTCCGCCTGGTCCGTCCGGTAAAACTCTTGTATGCCACGCCCCAGCTTGGTAGGAATGCGACGCCTGTGGTCGGTCAAATGAGCACTGCATGCCCCCGCCCCCGCCCCATTCCGCCCAAATACCCCCCCAAAATTGGTGTATACTCTTCCACATGTTGGTTCTGCCGGAGTCTTTGCCTTCGCGGAAATTGCATCGATCCCCATCTCGACATGTGTCACCTATCCAGCCGGGTGACGTCAGTGGTGATGGGCCTTGCAACTTGTGTACTCTCGCCTTTGACTGCTGTAGCAGCATTGACGTGGCGTGGTGAATCTGTTCGTGCCTAAGTATTGGCCAGCGTCACCCTCGGGCATGTGTACAAGTTGCAGACGGCAGGCGCTCGTAGGCCGTGTTTCCGCCCTTACCCGTTTGGGGGGCGCCGCAGTGTGCCTTGGGGGGGCGGGGGGGGGCGCGACAGCAGCAACATGAGTCACCCAGCGGTAGGTATATGTCTTTTTTTCTCTACCGCTTGCTTTTTCAGTTATCATGTGGGGGCGATGAACCTACAGCAGCGATTGAGTCACCCAGCGGTAACGCCGTGTGTCTTCGCTGCCCTACCGCTTGGTATTGCCAGGTATCGTTTGGGGACGATGATCGCGTGAGCTCTCTAGGCGATGATGACGTAGAAGCGTCCGTCAGCAGCATGAAGCCAGAGATGTGGATCAAATCGTCCGGGAATAGCGCGTCGACGAGATCGATGGGCCGGCCCGCAAAAGGAGACGTCTGTACCGTGTCGTAAAAAAAGAAAGGGACGTCCGATTAATATTTCGGCAACTCTTGCCTTTTTTTTTGCACCTTTTCTTGTTGTTTTCGGCTTACCATGAGTAGTAGTGGAGGGCAAAAAGGAGCCGTGTGTCGTAACATGGTGCAAACGATTTATTTTTTACAACTCTTGCTATGTTTTTCTACCCCTAGGCTTTCGATTTTTATTGTGTTTTCGTTGTGCAGGTGCCCAGTTTCCGTTCCTACCGGCTTGTTGGGCACCGTGGGTCACGTTCCTCTTGGGGGGGAGGGGGGGGGGGGGCGCGACATGAGCATGAGTCACCGAACGCAAGAAATCTATTGTACCGTATATTGGCGTCTGTGCCATTGAGTCACTCAGGCGAAGAATTTTTCTGTACCGCCGTGCATTGGCCCTTGTGCCACCGAAGTTAGAATTCGGTCCGATCGAGGGACGGGCGCCATGACCTCACAATCGCTGTCCGGAAGACCGCCACCACTCCAAAGCCGCCAAACTTCATGAACCAAGCCCAATGGTCCAATGGGGTTTTGAACGCGGTTGTCGACTACAGCACGGACAGTACACCGCTGTTATTTTTGTGTCATTCTACGCTTTACACTTGATTGGGCGTCCACAGGCAGGTGCATGATTCGCTGTTGCGCTCCTAGTCAGCAGTCATAGAGACGTCGATAGGGTGGTTCTTCCCAATGAGACGTTTGCTACATATAGGGCTGTAATCAGGTTTCATCTTGTAGATGTTGGCCGGTGCCGTGAGACAATGTGTGATCATCGTGGTAACATTGTGGAAACAGGGGGAAGCGCGCGGCCGTCGCTTAGTAGCGTTGCTGTTCACCCAGGTCGCTTTATCTCCCTCTGTCGTCAAACGGTGTCGTCTGAATGGTTTCAAGGCGTAGAAAGCCGATCGTTTCGTTCCTCGAAACCGCTGCAATAGCGCTCCGGAACTAGCCGTCTATTGGCGTGTGTGTAGGAAGAGGAGGGCTCACAAACTCGAGACAAGTCGAGACGTCGGTCGACGAGTCTATAGAACGGCCCTGTCTTGACGTCTTGTTTGTTTGATGTACCATGCTCTACGCTGCTTTCGTTGGCTTGATTTTACTTTTTTTCTTCTCGCTATCCTTCTGCGGTTGGACAGACCAAACAGGTGCAAAGCACGCACGTGCGTCGAAGGGTTCGGCCGGGTTCGGCCCGGCGTAAGAAGGCACGAATGGATGGATACTTGTATATTGAGTCGAACACGTCCGTTGTGGTTTGGTTCTCTCTGACCTGAGCGTTAAAAGTAACGGTGTGCACGTCTTTTTTGAGAGTTTCTTTTGTTTGTTTGCTGACGTGAGAACTTAGACTTGTTGTGGGCGGGGGGGGACGGGAAACTGGACCGGACTTGCAGCGGAGGTTGAGGTTTTATGGCAACTGCTGTGTACAGCGTCAGGCTCTCCTTCTCATCACATCCCGCTAACGAGAATCGATGTGTGTATCACTTCCTCTCAGCATTTTTTGTTGTTGTCCCACGTCCAGACAGGGAACAGGTGGATTATGAAAGTTTGAGGAGCGGCGTGGGTGAGAAACAACAAGTTAGGGTTAACAAAAAATTCGGAGAAACACCAAGAGTGCTACAACTGTCTCGACGTGGAGATCAGGTGTTCCGTGAAGAAAATAGAAAAAAAGTGTAGAGTGTTTTTCGGCCGTGATGGAAGTAAGGGTACTTCCGAGGGGGGAATTTTGTTCGCAGGGCATCGTAACAGGGTTTGTTGTGCTGCGTCACGTAGAGAAGATCGCCGAGCCATAACGTTTTCCCAACATGTAGATATAAAAATGGTGCGATGGGTACATATTGAAGGCCACTTGAGGCGGAATGTTTACGACAACGTCCGCCGCAAGTCATGCTTGGTTTCGAAATGGGTGCTTCGGGCCATTCGCCCCGTCCGTGCACGCACCTTTCCAGGGCAAAAATACACCGGTGAGGGAAATGCACCAAAGGTGCGAAAGGTTGATGCTATGTCCGTGGTGCGGAGTAGGCATGCGTGCTCGAGACGCCCGCAAAACTTATCCAAGCTGGACCCATGTAGCCGATATGCACAGCACAGCACAGCATACGTCCAAAACAAAAAGAGAAAGAAGAGCACTAGGGGAGGAGTATTTCCGATGGTCAACCACCGTGTCCTTTCGTACTCCACAGAAAACCGGGGGGCGGGGGGGTATTCAACAGGGGGCGGGGGGGGGGGGGGGAGCGCGTTGAAGGAAGAAGGCGCTCAAACAGGGTTCGACGGAGATGGCACCGCCTGCACACTGCACACGAGGAAAAATAACACCACCACCATCACTCCCTCCGCTTTATAAACAACGGCTGGCTCATGGAAACACCGTGGCCCCTCTATGCAAACTTGCCCGGATCACGCGAAGCTCACCCCTAGTACATACGTCCTTGTGACAGAATACTACAATACCTACATGCGAAGATACGATCCCTGCGACAACCAATGGACCTGGGACTTTTCCAACAAAAGCCTTTCCGAGACCCCGGGTAAACGTTACCATCTGTCGACTCCCATGCACCCCAAAACGTGTACCAAACAGTCTCAAGACAAAAAAAAAATGAAACAAAGAACGGAACAACACCGGAGGGAGATTCCAGTTGGCGGAAAAACGAGTGAATTGTTTGTACTCCGCCCGCAAGCTACCCGTCGCTGCCCCCCCCCCCCAAAAAAAAAAATCCCCGCAATTTCAAGCGCTGTACATGACGTGTCGCCTAACCTCGGGGGGACTATCCGAGAAGACGCAGCAGTTCTGCCGCGGCGTTCTTGGCTTCTCCTTCCTTCGTCTTGCTCAGAAAGCCCTCCACCTGCAGCGGAGGCGGGGGCGGGGGGGAGAGGGATCATTTCGTCTACATGTCGTTTGGCTGACGGCGCCATAGACTGGTTGGACCATACGACGGACACGGCGGCGGCGAAGCATGGTCATGGCGAACACGAAGAGCGACTCTTAAGGGTGTCTTTTTATCAGTCCAAGTACTTCGAATACTACACCCTACAGTACAAGAAACCAGGTGCTACTAAAGTTGTCTTTACAAGGCAAGTATTCTACCTGGTTTCGAAGTTCTGGCAGTGACTGCAGCATGTGAATCAGAATGCCAACACGTAGGCAGCAAACAAAAACATAAAAAAACAGCCACGGGTGGCTGGTGTTCGTACTCTCTCTCTCTCTCTCTCTCTCTCTCTCTCTCTCTCTCCTGGCAGTTTCCAGCATCCCCTCTGGCGGTTTTACCATCTGCCCCCCAACGACGGCTTGTGACCGAGCGAAGACTAGGTAGTCGGCGGTGCACAAAATCTTTACAATACTACACTGGCGATGCTGCAAGGAGTGTTGGCGGTACGCAATGAAGCAAAATACACAGAAAGAGAGAGAAGCACGCAAAAACCCAACCGCACCTGGTCCCGCAAGCCCACATCGTTGATGAGTGATGCTGCTTCCGAACCGCTCGCTCGCACCAACCTCCCTACGGATAAAACACGTCGAAGCGCAACCAACTGTGTGGAGGCAGCAGCAGCAGCAGCAGCAGCAGCAGCAGGGGAAAACACGTTGAACATGAGCGAGTTGTCTTTCAAACAAGAGGCGGGTTCTCATTGGTGCACAGCAGTAGCAAAGAGCTGTGGAAATAATTGAGGCCACACCCTACGTAATATTTGGTCGGCCCTCGTCACGTCTACCAGGTACTGCTGCATGGGGTACACTTTTGCAATTGTCTGACAACTATAATAGATTCAAACTGAGGGATATCGGGCAGGGGGTGGTGCGTGCAGCACAGACACGCATACACGGAAGCTACTCCGAATCCGGAATCTGGCTGGACCCTGTCATCCAATATCCTCCGTGCCCCCCCCTGTCGGGAGACCCCGTGGACTAGAAAACGCCTTCGCATTATTTTTTCCGCTGTGACGGAGGTATTTGATTGTTCAGCGGGCTAGAGCTGTAGAAAACAGAAAAACGATCACGCGCATACACACGTTTTTGAATCCAGCCTTTGGAGGCGTGCTCTAGTTATAGAAGCACTCAGATTGACATTTTTCGTTAGTCAGTCCGTTAGCGCTGTTGATCCTAACGATGAGCACGCACAAACACACACACCTCCCATGACGCCCCCTCACGGGGTCCCAGATCATGGCGATTAGAAGCCTTTTCTGTTTTCATTGGTGAGCAGGTTAGCGCGGACGATGGTACAGTAAATAAGAAAACACACACCTGTGAGGTCTCGTCTTGCAACCCGTCCAAAGCTCCGAAGAGGACCTGCGTCGTCTCGTCCGACATCTCAACCGCCGTCCCCCCGGCAGCGGTTTTACTCGCGATCGCGTTGGAGAGCACGAGCGAAAAGTTATTCAAGAGGGCGGAGCACATCTGGCGCACTTCGCCCCGCTCGTGCTGCAATCCTGCCGCACGTTTTGGACGGGAACGACGCCAAGCAAGCAAGGTTAGGGTTGAGAACTGGAACGGTTGGTTAAGTAATTGTGTTCATGTGCAAACAACACCGGAAGACTCCAATAGCAAAAACGGGAAAATACACGTTAAACGTTCGCATGAAACAAGCACAAAAAGACAAGTTACGCCGGGGGCGCGCGACAGACCATCAAGGAGGACACGGCCATACGCCCCAACAGCCAGAAAATGTGAACCAGCTCGGCAAGCATACAACCCGACACCCTTCCCTTCCCGCCACAAGCCCACGCGCACGTGCTTTGAGCAACATCAAAGCGCTGTCACGACGCTGTGGTATGTCTGTCCTCGTGTTGAGACGCTTGCCCCCACCGGAACCGAACGAAGAGCTCTTGTCAACAACGGCGACGACACCAGCGATCGCAGCCAGATACCACTACAGCAGGACACCGCGCCCGGTGGAAATACCGGCGGGGTCACCACGGGCCAATCCAGGGCCAAAACCCGTCGACGAGCAATCCGATGAGCAGTGGTAAGATTGTTGTGCTATCGCGGGAGCGACATCAACAAAGGAAGAACCTTGGAGAGTGATGGGTCTTGCTTAATCACTCACCGGCGAGCGAAGAATCAAGCCACCCGGGCATGACGTCCGCGCGCTCCATGTACTCGCTTCCCCCCGTGGTTGCGAAGGAGTTAGCGGCGGAGCACATGGCCATGGACAGCGCCTTCGATACATCCGCGAAACAAGCAAGAACCGGGAGGACGAAGGGAGTGGGATTGGGGGGGGTGTACTTGTATGTACGCGTGAAAGAGAGAGAGACGTGAAACGCGAGGTAAGTTCTTTGAGTGAATATTAATGGTTTTCTGGGTCTCCGGTGTACTTCAGGACGACACAAAACCCATCTTTGGTCGACAGTGCTTTGGTAACGCAGTGAAAACCTGCTCGCGGTGGTACGTCTCGGGCTTGCTCTTATCTGTGAAGCGGGACAACAAATCTGCCACTCTGATAAAAACCGTGGGCCAAAGGCGATCGACCCTTCTTGTCTCCGGCGGGGGTGTTTGCCTGCCTGCCTGCACGCAGACGATGCTATCACCGTGGCGCTCGCCTATCGAGTCGCGCGCTCGAGGGCAACAGCGGCATCGAACTGAAGAAACGATCCCAAGAACGGTGATACGGCCAAGAGGATACGCTTCGTCATCATTCTTGACCCCAACAAACTTGCTTGAGAGGTGCATGTGGAGCCCAATCCGATCGGGCTCCACAACTAACCAAGGGGCACGCCTGTACAAGATTCCAAAGGACGGGCGTCTTACATGCCGCCACTGCCGCCAGCAATGGTTATCACCTGTGCAGACAGCTGCTCTTGTCCGTCTCCTGCCGTCTGTACTCGCTTGGCCACCTGCATCATAGCCTCCTCCATCTCGGTACCCTCCGCTTGGTGCAGCACCATCAAGCTCACCAGCACGAGAGCCAAAAATCCTGCCCTGAGATGTTTTTCGTTCGTCGACGTTGTTTGCCGAGCGTCGCGCGCGCACGAGTAAAAACAGAGTTGAGGGCGGATTCATCGATTGCAATGCCACCCTGATCGGCCTCACACGCGGGTGACATTTCCCACGTTTGTTGACAGCACTGCACTTGGGTAATGAATTCGGGGGGGCTCTTCCGGTAAGACGGACCATCTAATTATCCACGGGGCCCCCGTGAGCAAGCAAGAGCCACCCAAGTGGGCTACACGAGAGAAACGGGAGCAATCGGAAATACCTACGACATTGCGAAAGCGTGTATTCATGGGGCTCCTCAACGTGAACTGCTGCATGCATACATGGGGCCTACACGACTCACTTCTCTGGCCAGCCTGAATCCTTGATCAGGATTTTCTGCATGAGTCGGAAGCTACCCGGGGCGACCGGGGTTGTCTTCGTGGCAGCCATCGAAGGTGGGAGGGCGTCCAACACCGCACTTTCCTCCTCAGAAAGCAACCCGTCGACGGTGGCTCCCAAGGCCTTCACGCGTGCCACCACCCCTGGAGCCTACATTTAGATGAAGGAGGGACATACGGGAGTGCGTAACGCGGCGTCCGGGGGGGTGGGGGGGTGGGGGGGGGTGTACTCATAGTCGTGCATGCCGTAGTCGTTTGACCATTGACCTCGCATCCCTACAAAGCCGGGACGGAGCACGCCGGGTTCTCACCGGACCAGGCTCTCACATCACCAAGCGCGAAGCGCCGTGAGGTATTTGGCGAGTCGCATGAAGGGTGAGCTGCATCCTGCTAAGGGTGTTCGGCATCTTGTGCTTACTTCCTTGCGTACGGATGACAGCTACGTATGACTTAATTTATTTTCTGGTGCTTTCACTTCCAGAGACAGTTGTAAGCACTGTGTAACTGCCTCGAGGAAGCTTGACCATTTTAACACAACGTGGTACGATCATCCCCCGTTGCGCGGAGTGAGGTTTCTCGACCCCGCACAACATGATCTACTCGACCACCATTATGGTTACCGCCAAAAAAAAAACCGAGGTAAAAAAAAAAAGCGGTAACCTGGTTGCCGAGTTCACGAAGTGAATTGGCTTGTTTTACAACGTCGTTGCCAAGCGACGAAAACCCAATCCCGATTGCAAACACCGAGTGGGGGGCTTGTTTTACAACGTCGTTGCCAAGCGACGAAAACCCAACCCCGATGACAAACACCGGGCGGGGCGGCATGTTTTACAACGTCGTTGCCAAGCGACGAAAACCCAACCCCGATGGCAAACATCGGAGGGGGAGGGGGGGGAGAGAAAAATTGGTCAGAAAACCGGCAGCAACAACAGCATTGTGCTCTCTCTCGACGTGTGGATGCCCTGACTATTGCTTCCTCAACAGGGTGAGAGATACGACCCTGTCCTTTGGAGCATAATCGCGACGAGTACAAAGATACTGTGCAAATATTGAATCCTCCCGCCAGTCAGATAGATACCTAACGTGCAGAGGCTGGGGCCAGAATTTGCACGTAGAACACACGACCACCGTTTACAAGATCGACAAACTTAGTACGCATGCCAGGCATGCCTCATACACTCCCTGCACCATGCTTCCCGTACTTGCTCCGCTCTCCGTCTGCTTGTGATGCACTTTCTGCATCGCCCGTGCACCCGTAAAATTCTCACCGCCTTCGCCGCGTCCGAACCAACGAGAGGCTTGGTGTGCTTGTCCAAGATAGGGAAGCCATCCGCCTTACACTGCGGAGGATCGGCAACACTAACTCCAGCAGCGGCAGCTCGTTGTTCGGCCGCTGCTGCCGCAGCCGCTCCTGGTGTCTGGGTCGGCTGCGATGCTGCTGCTCCTGCCCCGCCGCCCGCCCCAGCCAGCTGCTGCTGTTGCTGCTGCTGGTGTAGAGCAGAGTAGGGATCTGCACCGTTCATCTAATAACACCGGCGTTCAAACGAAAGGAAAGGAAACAGAGGAGGAGTTACCGGGTAAACGTTGCCACCTAGGAGGACAATTCGGAAGGCTCATGGCAGAACAACCACATGCGCGTGTGAAATACGAGAAAACCAACGCACTCTAAGATACATGGCTAAGGCGCACCTGTGTAGTCATTTGTTCCAAGAGCGGCCTTAGCATTCCTCCCATGGGCGAATTCAGCACCTCTTGCGGGAGATTGACGATGTCTGCAGCGAGTCCGTGGAACACGAGGGAAAGGTGCAAAATGAGGGTACATACGGCAGTCACGACGAGGGACCAATAGTGGTAGCATACAAGAAGGTGGAAGGTGAATCTCGTTCGTGATGGTAACCAATGCAACGCCTCACACAAATACCCACCAGAGATAAACTGCTTGCAACTAAGATCTCCGACGGCACATTTCGACCGGGACACGAATCCCGCCACCCCAACCAAAGACACACTAGAATAACATCTCCTCCTACCCTTGCCTCAACGCTGATCTAGGCCATGCTGCAAATCAGACTCACACTCCGGGATCCCCTTGCCAAGCAAAAACTGAGACGCCTCGTTGGAGTACGTGTTGCAGTTGTGCTTCATCAGGTCGTACGTTTGAGCCGTGAAGCGCGGTTGTACCTCTCGATTGAAGTCTTCGAAGAGCTCCTGTCAAATAGAGGAAAATAAATGGGTTGGATAAATAGAGTTGGGCCAACAACGGAACGAACAAAAAAACGAGCAAAAACCCTGGTGAGTACAAGGGGGGCAGAGTTCGACAGGTGCAACGTGAAATGCCGCAAACAGCGAGAGGGTGCACGTGTGGCGATCATCCGGAGTACTGCAGGTGCAGAGAAGCGAATCAGCACCTCGGTCATGAGCCAACCTGCTACCAAGAACCGGAGGTCTGCTGCGCCGTCGATGAGAGGGGAGAACTGTCACGATGTCTACGCAGCAGAATCGGCTGGTACCCAACTCCAATCATAGGTCCGAGCCAACTAGTACCACCAATGTGCTGCTGTGTTTTAAGTACAGCACCTGCCGTGTGGTTGACTCCGGCTGGTGCGCCAAGCACATGCCGAAAGGCACAGACTGGCACCCAGAATAGACGGGACGAACACCACAAGAAACACACCCTGGCACTTGCGTCTGGTGCGCGACGGACGACATGTACAAATACATGGCGCATGTGCGCTGCGGTCACGTACTGTAGGTATTTTCCCACAAACACTCCGTTCACCCACACCTCTGTGAGGTCGGTAGACCCTAGCTCGATGTACTCGGTTGGCCCAACCCCTCCGTGCATCTGGACGAACTGCTCGTGGGGCATGCTTTGCAGGCCGCCACCAAAGAAGTACTCCTTCCCGTAAACGATGAGACCTGTGTGCCAGATTCCTGTCAAATCAAAGAGAGGTAAACAGCCACACGGTCAGCGCTCGATGTTGCTGTACTCGGTACGGGTCATAGCACGAGGCAACAACTGGCCGGTCTTATCGCATGTTTTCACCATAAAGGTGAGCAAAGTGGCATACTCGCTGCTTCCGCCAGTCAGAGAACAGCTCGTCAACCTTTGACCGGCACGCCCCACAACAAACATTTGAGTAGCCGCATGGCCGCAGTCACAGCTCCCGAAAGACTTCGAAAGAAAAACTACGTTAGAGAGACGTTGTTTGTTTTTTATTTTTGGGGACAATTCCGAGCGAACACCCCCCGCACATTTCCTAGCGACTCCTCCACCCTTCCGGCGCCAGGCGCCGCTGATGTGGTGACCGTCGCGTATGATGAGGGATAGGATACGTGTCTGGGCGTGGCGTGGCACGGTTCGCACTACGCGGAGGTGTCAACCAGCGTACTATTTTGCTCTTCTTTCTGCGGCGCTTGCCTTCAGTTCTTCAGTTCCCCATGCAATTCGTGAAGGAATCAGTCAACCCTCCTTGGTCGTCAACAACGAACTTGTAGGTATCACAATACTGAGTACCGAGTACTCTACGGAACTCGAATCAGACACTTATACAGTTAGGGCCGGCACGTAAGAAAATCCTATTTTGGCCGAGGCTCGTTTCTTGCCTTCTCTATGGGGTACCCCAACAGGGAACTATTTACTTGTAGAAGTAGGTTCTAGTGCAGATTTTTGACTGAACACCTGTTCTTATGGCCAAGTTCTTAGATTTATCTTTTCTTGGGAGCCTTAATTTCTTAACTCCCAGGTTCCTAAGTGCCGGCGCTAACTACCGCATCTTCGCATTTGTGTCGCGCAGGAAACGATGACACCAAGAAGAGCATGTATGGAAGTAGATAGCGGTAGTCCTGTCAAAGCTGATTTCCCTATTATAAAACCAATACCCTGCCACTGCATGACAAACCGCGGCAGCAGCTGCTACATAGTACAATACACCAGCAGCCGAGCAATCTACAGCAAGCAGTGCCTTCGGGCGACGAGAAAACGTCGCCCACTCCCGCAGAGTATGACTGCAGGATGGCGTATGGCTTGTCTGGTTGGTTGAAAGCAGGTCGGTGTAAGGCAGTACTTAAAAGCAGAAAGTCGCAATCCTAAAGCTACTTGTCATCTCCTACTTCACGTCTGATTGCACCAGATGGATCATATCCTCTTTGTGTGCGGACTCTGCACGCCACACAGATGTCAGAGAAAACATAATCCATAAGTACACCCCACACCGGCCTCATTCTGCCCCACGAAGGGAATCAAACGCCGCTCTGCTGTGTACACATTGGGTGGTGTAGCTTACATACGTATCGTATCCCAGAGAGTACAATATCCATGGGGTGCGGGATGAATTCTATAGATTTTTCTGGAACGATCGATAATCTACATCTAGACGTAGATCTACCTGCCTTCTTTCTCTCCTTTTCAATCAACAGAACATCTCTTGATGTTTACGAAACAGCCCCCCAGCTGAAACATGCCCTGCATTACAAGAAAACGATCAACGCATTCGCTGGTGGTGCGTCTGGAATCATGACAACATATTTCCTCTGACGTAAATAAAACACAGCCAACGACTCGAACATCGTATATCACAAATCCAAAGAACGCGGACAAAGAACGCGCTGGTGCTCACCGTCTATCTGCTTTCCCAGTATTGCCATACTCATCGCTTTCGCCATTCCGCGTGACAAGTCGTACAACGCTAGTTGGACCCTGTGCGCCATCTTGCTCCTAGCTTTCTGCTCAGATGCACCTGTCTGCTGTTGTGTCGTGCGAGGGTGCGGCGCAGCATTTCAGCAATTTGGGGGGGGAGCGGCAGAGAAAACTCGAGAGAGGGGTGGTGGAGGGGGACATACCGATTCCGCCGCATTTTTGAACCATCGTGCCTGCCAGCTCATCGCTACACCCCCTTGCTGGCTGCTGGCCCCTTCCCTTCGTCCCCTTGAGGTTGTCAGCAAGCAAGCCAGCTCCGTTACGGCAGCCCCTACGTGCACACCAGGTGTTCATTTTGGAGTCTGCTGCACCACAGCAGCGAAGAAGTGTGTCACGCGCGAGAGAAAGAGAAGAAGCGTGTGGGCGTATAATCGATGTTCCTGGGTCTGCTCTTGATACTTGCGTGTGCTCTTATCGAGAGGTCAAACGCGTTCGTGACCCCTTCCATGTCATCCAGTCCTCCAGGGGGCACCGCAGGTGACTGGTCGAATTGGCGTTCTGTGAAAGGTGGCGGTTGTTTGTTGTCATGATGCGGGACTGTGCGTGCCGATGGTGACGTCATGAGAGCGACAGCTACAGTACAACTAGTAGGACGGATACTACCGCCTACCAACAGCAGTATTTGAAGATTCGCTCACGAACAATGATGAGTGCAAGGCGTTCTAAATATGCGTGTTAATTCTTGTTCGCCCTATGTAGACTACTTACAGCGGTTTGACACTTGGACAGGATTCACAAGTAGACTTATCTTGTGACCGATTGCCGCGGCCACCTTGGGCCCCTACTGCTGTAGCTGCTCCAGTTTTGTCAATGGGGGAGGGGGGGGAGGATGCTAGAAATGGAGTCTTGATTGGTGCCATCTAACTCATTCCGCCTGTAACCTGCGCCCTGACCTACTCTTCTTACCCTTAACGTAACATCTATACCTGTGCTGATGCATACTACTATTATTTTAGCCTGGCCTCCGGCCGATCGATTGAGCGAGTACGTGAAGGAGTCAAACCTGGTTGACTACAGAAGGTTGGCAGCGCAGGAAAATGAATGGCTAGCTCCGGTTATTTCGAGCATCAAGAGCAACAACCCTACGGAGACGAATGCCGAGCGGCACGCTTTTTTGATCAACGCGTACAACCTATGGACACTGCACTACGTTGTCCGCGAGAGGAGGTTTCCTGGCTTCAAGGGAGCCGTCTCCATGTTGGCCAAGGCGCGATTCTTCTACTGGCACAAGGTGTCTACGGGCGCCGGTAGATGGAACCTCTACAACTTCGAGAACAAGGTGGGAAGTGTCACTTCTAGTCTATTTAATAGTAGATGTGGTTAGTTGCGTTGCCACACCGTAACTTAGGTTAAACAAACTAGTTCTACGCTCGCGCTGGTCAGAGCTTTTCGTGAACATAACTTTCTCGGCTACCCTCGAGCTCAAAGTTAGTCACCGGCGGTGGTACAGCAAGGAAGGCTTACGCGGCAAACATGGTGGAGAGAATACGATTGAGTTTTGCGTGTAGCACGCCGTCAGTTGAACCAGGCTTATGCCGCCTGCCGGTGCCTTGATTGTGTGTATCTCGTCGTACATTCTCACATGTCCCATTTTCCCGGAAGCCGTCAGATGTGTGCAGCGAATGTGCAACTTCTGCTGCTGCCGCACAGCTCATGTCTATCGACTCGTGGTTCGAACACCCGCGTTTTGTTTTTCAAGAACCAAATCGAATAGAGATCGGCTCTCTCTACATATCCCACACAGGTCATTCGACCGGATTTGAACGACGCTCGGGTTCACTTCGCCCTGAACTGCGCGTCGATGTCATGTCCCCCCTTGCGGAGGAAGCTGTTCACTGGGCCTGGCTTGGATGCAGAGCTTGACGAGGTGAGCTTTGCCATGCGACTGGTACTGCTAACTGCTGTTTACGTGCTCGATGTGTCATCGGGACAGGCTTCTTTTTTTCCATGGCCTGGGTCCGCCGCAAGGGTAACGCTATCGAACAGCTACGTCTGTTCCTGCGTGTATTGGATACGTTGTCGTTGTACAGCAATAGCACCAATAGTGCATCGCCAACATACGTGCGTGGTGAAGCTGCCGACACTGTATCGCATGGTCTGCTTGGTTGGACTCTACTTCACCACCTTGCTACAACAACAAGCATCTTCGGCAAGTTCAGGGTTCTTTGTGTGCCGTTCGCCGCATTGCGCAGCGGCGTTGTATCAGAGACTTGAAAATAGTCTCCTATCCCACGTTATTCTTCTGCGTAGTTTGCTCGCATCATGGCAGCGCGATACTGCATTTGACGTGAGCGTGGTCGTGCTTTCAGGTAACATCCGCGGCAATCAATGGGGGCGCCATGGTTCAACTCAAGGAGGACGGGAAAGCCCTCAGCGTCAACCCAATCTTCAAGTGGTACAAGGAGGACTTCGACAAGGAGGGCGGCGTTGAGGTCTTCATCAGGAGTCGCTGGACCGGATCCCCTATCCAGGAGGACCCGAGAATAGAATTCTTCGACTACGACTGGAGGTCAAACAGTGCCGACGCAACGTGGTCTGACCGCGCGTTGGGGGGTCCAGCACCTTGAGACCCGAGGCGCGCTATATATCAGTCCCGAGGCGCGCTGTACGAAAGTCGTTTTCATGTTGAGGCACTTGGTGTGCACTGCTGCTGCGGTTGAGAGTACCCATGCATGGAGCAAAAACGTTGGGGGCATGTACAGTCAAATTTTGTCAACGAAAGAAGTTCGCGCGCAACTCAAAAACCTGATATCTGTGACAGGAGCACAATAGTGAAGTTTATGCATGGTGCAGAACGCGTTCCTCGGTTTGATCAGCCGTATAGTAAGATGCTTGCAATGCTTTGCTGGTAATACGATACGTCCGTGAGACGAAGCGGATGCGCATCCACTATTGAAGTGAGCTTGAAGTTCTCTGATTGTTGTTGTCGAACCCCACTACACACGGCGGAAGGCGCCGGTTGTTGACATCCCAAGTTGTTCACCAAATACTATAAAATCAGGGGATACACCAAGCACGTTCTCATTGAGAAAAGCGTCTGCCACGATTGGCACTCGAGGCGGACACCGTTGGCAAAGCGCGTTCGTTCTTGGCAATCTATGAGCCGTCTACGTTCGGGAAATGTTCAAGGGAATAACTTGAGGTATTTATCGGATTCGGTTTAACCGGATGACCGATTTAATTGGATTACATCTTTAAACCTGGCGCAAAACTGGTTACCCCAAAACTGAGCAAAGAAGGCGCAGCAGAACTCAAAGCCTCGCAAAATGCGGGTTGATCATGGGGAGAGCGCCGGGTCGAGTTGCCCCCAACTCTGTCCATCGCACGCAGTCTGCCCGCCGCTATCGCCGTTTCTTACCCCGCTCCCTGATCCTTTCTTGTTTCTGCTTGAGCGATGACAGGCAACGATGCGAGGAAGGGGAAACAGCCAAAATTGGCAGCCTTAGACCTGTGAGAAGCTAAAACCGCTCGTTTGATTTTACTTGAACACGTTCAGAGCGATTGAAGTGGTCGATGAACAAACGCTGCGTGTGCTTTCAATGTCGGCATCTCGCAATCTCCGTAAGAGCGCAATCGAGCGAGTACATCCTTGACACATAGCTGGTCTTAGGCTATCAGCCCCAACAGTGTTGGCGCCTATTGGCAGCGACCTTACCTTTTTGTGCAGCCTCCTACCGCCCCGCTTCGGTCGACCCACGCTTGCGCAGTATCTGCGCGTACGAAAGACGGACGGACGCGCTGTAGCTTCGTAAAACCATTTAAGGAGGCATCCACCGATTGTAGACTAGACTATACTCCACCGCAAGGGCATGCCATCAAGCGCAAGGGAGGATGCAAATAGTGCGGCATTCGCAGCACATAGCTCCTACCGAAGGACTTGTAACTTCAGTGCGACATAACATTTGCATCTCACAACAACGGAAGAAGGTGTGATGCAAAAGAGGCACTGCCGTCGACTGAGGTGTTTAACAACTATCGGATGAAACCGTGACCTCAACCGGGTGCGGAACGGCAACGCACACCAGAATCAGTTACCACAGGAACACTACGTTGGACTGCGAAGATGCAGCTTTTGACTTCCAAAAGTCCAAAGTGGTACTCACGCCAAGGCTACGACCGCCACCAGCACAAGGCTGACGAAGGTCAGCACGACCGTCGCGGCCTGTGTCCCATGATCTTCCGTCTGCTCGTTCTTCGACCCTGTCCGGGAGCTCTTTGTGGGGGCGTCAGTGCCACTTTTGTCGCCTCCCCGCCTAGGTTTGCCAGCGCCCTGACGGAAAAGTGGCATCAACGCAGAGGGCGCACGCACCAACAGTAGCAACGCGGCATGGAGGAAATGGGAAGGGAACGTTGCAGACCAACGGACGGAGAATCGTTCAACAAGACGCGGTGTACATCCAGTGCCATTAGGAAGGTCTGCTGGGGTACCGCGGGGGTGGATTAGTTTTGTTCAACAACGATTGTTGATTTACGAATGGTCCACCATCGGTTGTTTCTGTCCATGGGAATGGGATGCACGACACATAGACCTGAAATGCGAGACCATCGAAGGCTTGTGGTCTCACACGTAGCTACAAGACTTACACCAGGCCAACTCGGTGGGCGCCGCCTTGCCATTGAGTTTTGGGTGTTAACCGAGGTATATTCACCGAACCCTTCGCCGTTTGGAGGCAGGTCAGCTTCGGATCATTTTATTGCACCTCTGGACATAAAAAACGATGCAATATCTACTTTTATTGTGTACTTTCATTGCACGTTGTTCGAGAAATTCTGTCTCAGAAACTTTGACGATTGGAAAATTGACACGATGCGATCATGTTTATGTTGAGACCGGTTTTGGCGAATAAAAAAAAAATGGTGGCCTACATAGCTTGACACGATTCTCACCGCCTTATGGTGAGCCTTGGCGTCCAAAATTCTGCCTACTTCGGCTTCACAAGCCGCACTCAGGCTTCCCGCAGGCTGCTCCAGCGCTTCCTCAAGGCGATAGCGACAAGCGCTGGACGTCGATTCGATAGTCCTTTCCGCCACATCCCTGGTTTCCGCAAGGAAAACATAAACCATTAAAGGATGCATGAGACGGAAGGGATGGCGAGTGTTGCAGTGTTGCTTTCTGTCAAGGGATTAATTGATTGTCGCTCGCCGTGTTTACCCCCCAACCGAACGTGTGATTTTGCCTTTGTAACCGAGGAGTTCCGATCGGTCAGGCAGAATAATTCCTCGGTCGTGGGATTATTCAATTGGCCCCGACCGCGCTTTCCGGCTGGCCGAGGAAACAATCTCAGTTTAACAGGGGGAACGCGTTAACACGTTTTTTAGTCATCGCCCCCCCCCCCCGGCAGGGCCCAGTCTCTGGGTTCAGAGTGCTTGAAAAGAGCAAGCTTCCATGCGGCCACGTAGCATTCTTGCAGCGTATGTATGATTGTTAAATTAGCGTTGACCGCGCTAACCGACTGACCAATAGAAATATGTCTGTCTCAGCAGGTAACAATGAAGGTCCTTGAACGTGGGCCAAAACTTTAAGAATTGGCGTCGCCAAACGTCATGAAAACAACCTGAGAGGGACACATGTTCACGCAAGCCCACACCCGAGTCAATTAGCCCCTGATGCTGGAGTGAAGGAGAAAAAAAGGGTTAATTCAAGCCCAGTCAAGTTGTGTTCGTGTGTTTCGTCCAATGTATTCGGGGTCCCAGTGTACACCTCGTACGCGTTTGACGCACCAGCCAGGGTAACACTGGAAGGTAACACAAGAGTTTCTTCTTATCTCCATCTTTCCTCCGGCGGTGCCTGCCTTCAACGCATTCACGCGAGAAGGGTTCAGTACAGCAGTAGCCCCTTCCCTCGTTCTCTTTTGCTTACTCAAAGCAATGCGCTTTCCATTTATGTCTACATCAACTTGCGTGTTCATCAATCCTGAGTGATTCGAACCCGCAAACCGCAAACAAACGTCCGAGGGTTCTGCCAGAGGTGACCAATTGAACCACCTGGGCGACCGACTGAACGCATATAATCTTTATTAAGCGCAAAAAGAGTTCGGTCATCATTTCCTCAGGGTAGTCACAACATGCGCTCCTTACACAGATAGCCTGTAGACTACTCCGGAGACTTCCGTGTATGGTAGTGGTAGAGCCGTACAACAGGTGAACCAACGGTGCAAAAAGGCTGCTGGTCCATAACGGGCCGGATGCAGAAAATTACTATCGCGCCGGGATTCGAACTTCCACCATAGCTAGTTCAAACTGTCGCTACTTGACGTGCCGGGTCTACCGGCTTTGTCCAACGTATGCATACAACTGTAGACGGATACCGGTACAGAGTAACAGCCCAAGCAATGCATGGGGTCGAAATCTCGACACATCATCAACGAGGTTGAAGAGAGTCTTACCATGATACCATCACTGTGTGGGCGGGCTTTCAAAACATCTCCGAAGGGTCCCCTCTCTCAGCTGGCGTGGTTGACGGTCAGCTGTTGCCCGTGGGTGGTGAGCGTGCGTGTAGCTGGTGTGGAGTGTGGAGCCTGAGCCGCGGCGAGACTTTTTGGTTCTTGCCTGGCCCGAACACCCGAACACGAACACACCCAAACACCCAAACACTTCAAAAGGTTCTGAACCCATTGTAGAACCAGATTCTTGGAAGACGGACAGACGGACCAGCTCAGGAATGCCGCTCAGCACAAACTTCCTTCATCGGCCAGGGTCGGCTGTACCAACGCCACTTTACCAAACTCTGTTTGGCTGGGGCCGGCTGTACTAGCGCTGATATCCATGTCTCTCTTCCGCAAACGCAGCAGCGCCCTGCTGCCAAAGTTAATGCCTCGGAGGCAACTGCTTTTTCGCCCACAAACAAGCTCGTCAACGAAGAAGGCCCGGCCAACTGCACTCGCCGTTGCCACTGCTACTGCTGCTGCCGCCGCCGCTGCCGCCGCTACTACTGCGGCTGTTGTGACCGTTTGTGACGAAGATAGGCTAGAGCGATGGAATGATAGATGGGCGACGGGAAGAGTGGCGAGTATTTGAAGCGACATGAGTTTTGTATGCGTACGGACGTACGGACCATCACCTTTTAGCTGCCACGCACATCGCAGGGTAGCATCATAGGCTCTGGCATTGCGTGCAGCAAGGCCTGCCGTATGCGGCAATGTTGAAGGAATTTGCGTTTCGTGCATTTTTTCCTTTTTTTCCTATCGCCGCGTCATTTGTCTCTGGAGTCAAACAACCTGAGGGCGGTGCAGCGGTAGGAAACAAACCCCAAAAGTTGCTAGAATAGGCCTCTCTAAGGCAAGTGCGGCGTATGGCAAGTGAGGCATGCCTCTGAGGTGGAAACAACGGACTCCAGGCGACGAAGCGCTACAAAAGTCGGAGGGAGCTTACCGAGAGAGGCGCGGGATGGGTATTATCTCAGCGCGGCTTTCCCAAGACCGTGAGTCCGCCCGTTACATATCATATGAACGACCGTCTGACATTGTTTCTTCGTGTCTGTCTGTGTGAAACTTATTTTCGGTAGGCATGGCATCGCGAGAAACCAAACGAGATCCTCGTGAAAAATTACGATGCCTTCATGAGACCTACGGACGGCCAGAAGCCCGGGGCTGCGGCTCGTGTACTCGTTCCGCTATGTGGCAAAACTGTTGACATGCCCTATCTGGCGCAAAAAGGTGAGCGCCAGGAACGTCGCGACTACCTTCAGCTTTCTGCAATTGTTATTGTTTCTCCGACTTGTTCATATATTGGGCGTCCGATACCCATAAATCAGGGGCGCCGAAGCTGGGGTGGAACCCGCGCATGTAACGGCCTCGACACAGAAGAAAAGCAAGATACCCGTGTATGGCGTGACCCGTCTTTCTCTCGTAGAAGCGCACTATTGAGGCGTCTCCAAAACGTCGGGCAACAACTCGTTTTCAACGGTGAATTTCATCGCATTCACTCGAAGTAAATGCAGATATTGACCTATTTAGGTTTTCGACACCGTAACCATGAGATATTTAATCCCTTTGGGTCTAGGCTGGACTATCAGATTTTTTTTGCGCCAAAATAAAGTATATGAGAGCGAGAGCGAGCGGATAGAAGTGCAGAGAAAGACACCACTGTACTTCCGCACAGGCAACAGCTATCTCCACCTGTAGGCCATGAGGGAAGCCGGCGACAGGGTGGTGGCCACAGACAGGGTCGTAGAAGGGTTGATGGGTGGTCGCGCTGGGGTCAGTAGGGCAGGTTAACTGTGTAGACTTTGAAATGATCAGTTGTCTAGCTGGCTCAACTAGTCTATTTTCGGTATATTGTAAATGATCAGTCCAGAGAGGGTAAAATGATCAGTGAAGACCCATAGCTGGTATTTGTACTTCTGTACTTCTCCGTTCTCTGTCCCCCCCCGATATGTGCCCTGCCAGCTCTCTAGAGCTCCTGTGTTTTTCAAACAACAAGCACATCCACCAGCACACACCTGTCCCTCGTGGTTTCCTAGGTTCGGGCGAGGGTATGTGTGGCGCTACGAGTGTGGATGTGTTGCTGATATGTGTTACTCGTCTACAGCAGTAGTAGTAGTGTTGTTGTAGCGTTCGTTGTAGCTGCTGACACAATGACTACTGGATCTTGGGAACGATTTTCAAATTGTTGGGAGATGCAGCAACCACGATATCCTCGATATCTGGGCTTCGGCAGGGCTTGCAATACCCCTCCCTTCTGCTGCCCTCTGCTCTTTGCAGCAGTGGCTTCCTACGTTCGGGCGAGTGTATGTGTGGTGCTGCGAAAGAACACATATGTATGTATGTATGTATGTATGTACAAGGGCGCTTCGCGGCGTACCGCTTCGCGGTCGCCGCTTCGCTCGTAGGTTCAATGGCGATGGCAAGTGTGTGCGGGTGGAGTTTTGAAATGAGAGATACGAAGAAAAAATGCTGCGAAGAGGGAAAATTTGAAATTTTGTTTGTTTGTTCGAAGAGCAGAGACGCACAATGACTATATTCATTCATATGTTACGCGACGGCCGGAGGACAGAGTATTTAATTGCTCGGAGTAAGAAGTTTGTTTTTCAGAAACAAAGGCTCACTTTGCACGAAAAAAGTAGGAAAATAGGGTTACGTAACATAATAGCTCAACCGGGCCACACCATAGAAGAAACGTCTCAATAAGAAAACAGAGGAGCGACCCCTAAAATGCTCTACTATTCATAAGACACGAGAGGGGTTACTGGGGGGGGAGTGAGTGTGTCGAATAATTAAACTAAGAAAGAAAGAAACATCAAGCAACCAGCTTTATTTTCTCTCTCTTCCTCCCCTCTCTCCCATGTGCTACCCACCCCCTCAGCGAGACGTTGTTGCTGAATAAAGTTCGCTACTTCTCGGGTGTGCGGTCTTCGTATGTATGTGATCTGATGTACAGCCGTCGGTGGTGAGAATCGGGGTTGAGTACGGGAGGCGAGGAAAAGCAGCGCAACTCATTACGTATGCATACAGTAGTTTTTTTAGTTTTTGCAGCACGTTGTGTGTAAGCAAAAGCAGAGAAAAGCAGACAACTTTTTCTGCCGATTTATGAAAATATGGAAACCCACAGCAGCAGTAGTATTTCTGTATGTTCTGCTATAATAGAGGGTTTTGGGAGTCAGATGACTGTAGAAGTTCGTGTGTTGGTGTGTGTTGGTGGGATGCGGAGCATGTCCCGGTAGCCGCTCTACAATAAACTGCTGCTGTAGATATCCAGAAGATTTTTCCGGGAAAAAAAAAAGTATTTCCATGAAACGGAGGAACAAACAACGTATTTCATTTTTTTTTTTTCTCGGGCGGGTGCAGTTTTGCAGACAGCTGTGCGCACGACACTGGCCGCTAACCCCCCCCGCCTTTCGCCTGGATCAAAAGGGAGACGCACTACAGCAGTAGAGTACTTTGTCTCGTCTCATGCGGAGACTTGGTGGCTTGGTTGTCGTGTGTGGCAGGGTGTGTGGTGTGTAGCCAGCGCACACGCACAATCCACGTCAGCGGCTTGCCGAATGTATGTATGAGTGGCCTGCACTGTCAAGAAATCGGGGTGTGATTGGTGGATCCATGGTAGATGTCGGAGACGCGACTTTCTGCCCTCGCTAGCGCTGCACGCAGTCCGCCCCGAGAGCGCGCGGCACGCCGGAAGGGCCCTCGCAACACAGGGCTATCGGTAGGTGCAAGTCTCGCTTCGAGGCGAGGTCAACGGGCGGAGAAACCTCGAAAAAAGGGGCTCTAGGCTCACGAGATGATCAGGATTGCCTCTCCTGCGATCTCGTGAGCCCTCAGCCCGTAGGAAATCCGTCTATAGGTCTATGTATGTATGTATGTATGTATGTATGTATGTATGTATGTATGTATGTATGTATGCATGTACACACACGTTCATGTACATACGTTGAGAGATTCATGATTTGGCGTTGATTGTCCCATTCGCGAGACCTTGATATTACTCGCTGTCACTGACGTCTCTTCATTGGTCAGCCGGTTAGCGCGGGTGCTAATAATCTAGACACACCTACCTGTGGACTTGCCAATACACGGCGCGAAAGGCTGCAGGGCGGCAACTCCACGACTTGCCAGTACACCAGCATTTGCAAATGATCAATCAATGATCAGTCAGAACGCCTGAAGACTCAAAAGGGTTAAGAAACACATATTTCTTACTACAGCAGTAAACTCGACAAGGAAGAGTGTTGCTGCCATGGCCCGACCGCTTGGCTTGTTCGGGGCTTGACGCTTGGACGACGCAGCACACGCAGTAGTACGCGTCATCTCTTGAGATTGTTGCAGTTTAGAATCGATTTCAACCATTTGCAAATTCTGCACGGGTGGCCAGAGGCCGGGCTACGGGGGTCGTGCACCGATTACGAGCTGGGGTGAGGGATTTGTGCGCCGAAAGTGTGCAGCTATTCCCGTATCTCGGGTAGTGGGGGTAATCCAACAACAGTAACACGGCGGACTGGCAGCATAGACAAACAACGTGTTCAAGGTCGATCCCGTCCTCCCAACCTCCTCACCACAACAATCACAGGTTGTGATCGGTGCCCAAGCTTCCCCTCTAGCCACTTGTGGCCGGTATGCCACAAATCCTTCAGTTATTTTTTATCTTCAGTAGTTGCCTTCAGACAAAGTGCCGTTCATTGTTCTCTCGCACACGTTTTCTATCTCCTTCTCTTGTGACCTCATCGGTCGCTCAGATTTCTACCGCCGGGGCAAAAAAGGAAGAGGGGAGGGGGCTTTAGACGAAAGCGGGGGCTACCCCATGGCTGGTCAACAAAGCACATGCTGGCATCCAGAGTGCACAGCAAGCCACAATTTTCGGTTCTTTGTCCGTCTACACCACGCGCAGGACACGAGGTCGTCGGCGTCGATGGCGTTGAAGCAGCCGTGTGGCAGCTCCAACGTGATTCGTGGCTGAAATTCGAAACGTTCCAGGCCGAGCCATCAGCAGAAAGCTCCGGCAGGCGCCCAGGGTTTATTCCAGCGCCGACATTCGAAAAGAGGCGCTCGGGGTATGTCTTCAAGACTGACACTCTGGGGACTGGCTACTACCTCGACAAGAAGGCAGTCAAGGTGACGTTTACAAGGTTGTGGTGCCAGAGACAGCACCCAACCAGGGGCACAGCAATTTGACAGCAATGTGGCCTCTGTTCTACGGCCTCTGTCTACTGCAACAGCAGTAGACTATCGATAAACCAAAAGAAAAACTCCGGCCGTCACTTTTTACCCCTCCCGTGCAGTGGTTTCGAGACACGCGGAAGCGAATCTCGGTGGTTGTCTCCGACTTCCTCTTCCTTGCACCAGGGGACATCGGCATGTTCGACAGGTATGTGCCACGGCACGCTCAAAGCCTAAATAGCAACGAGTGGCCAATGGTAGCAGCGCCTCAGCTAAGCCAAGCCTTCAAGGCGTTTGATTTGGGTGGCCCACAACATACACCCCCTTTTCGTGCTTGCGTGTGTGGTTAGGGTGTGGGACAGAGGAGCGCTGGTCGCGCTGAGGCCCGAGGACCGTGAGGAGTACGTTTCGACGTGCGACAGCGTGCTCGAGCCTGGAGGGAAAATCCTGCTGGCAACTTTGGTGTATGATCAGAACGCAAAAAAAGGTGCGACACGCAAACCCTCACACACAAATGCCTTGAGACGGGAACAGGATGCCAGGGACACTTTATTACGCGTTTGCTGGAGCTCGATATGGTCACCAGCCTCGACTTCTACACAGTACACCGCGCTCGATACTCTCCCGAACATGCCCAAGCTGAATGGATGAGGGTGGCTCCATCAGTAGTTCTAAAAATATCTACCTTGTTGGACGTTGGCCAAATACAAAACCATGTTAAAAAAAACATCAACCCAACACCGTGCCGACAAACCACCACAGACTGAAACATTCGATCCACAAGGCCAAAAGCACCACACGAATGCCCACACGTTTCACCTGCCAAACTCCGCGCGCCAGGTCCTCCCTACTCCATTCCTTTAGCGGAGGTACAACGCCTATACGGCGGCAAGCTTGGCTACGCGATCGAGACTCTGAGCTCGGTCGACGCTCGTGAAGAATACCAGGTACGAAAGACACGACAACAACACTTTTTCTTGAGGCACACCTTCAACCTCGCGGTACAAGACCAAACGGTTCAAAAACCTCGCACAACTAACACAAAAAACGAAAAACGAAAAACGCGGGATAAATCAGCACTCCGAGGAGGGCTGCTAAGAAAGCACCTGTACGTAGAATTGAAAGCACCTACCTGTACACAAAAAAAACACACGAAGTATCACACAACGATCTTCTTGCTGATTTACCTCCCCCCCCCCCCTCCTTCTCCCAACTCGATCAGGGGGGCCCATGGGACGAGCTTCACAAAAAGAGCGGACTCGAGGAGTGCGTGTTTCTCTTGACCAAGCCTGGCTCCGAAAGATGGGGGGGCTGGTTCTCCAAAATGTTCTTGCGGCGCAAGGGGTAGCGAGGGTGTAAAAAAACACCTCGCACGCCGGGTCGCGCGTCGAGCAAAAACAAATTGGAAAGCGCTGAAAAACACATGCGGAAGAGAAAAGGGATACATTCTGGGACGACAAAAAGTAAATAAACGTGGAATCTCACCTACAAAGTCAGCGGCGTGGATCGCACAACTCTCATCTACTACAAGGTTGACAACCGGTCTCGCTTTGCGGCTTCCTCCTCCTCTATTGTTGGTGGATTGCCGCTCGACTGCTTGGAAGCAGCCGCCGCCACCTCATGCAAACCACCGCTACGATGAGTCCCTGTCACTTGGCCCTCGTTGCTGTTGAACTGTTGGGAAAGACGACGAGAGAACGGTTGCAACCAGGCAGCGTCAGCAGGGATATGATACGCTGCCAAGGGCATGCAATCTTTGCCGCGTGGTCAAAGAGACAAATAGTCTGAACGCCGTCTTGCGTTCGCTACTGGAACGGTGTCTCCTGTTGAAAGGATGACACACAAGAGAGACGCTGCCACTGCCGACCTCACGGAAACTATTATTTCTTATTTTAGGTCGAACCTTCGGTTGCACAGCAAAGCAACGTGTACGCGGGCAAATTAAATTTCTAGCTAGCAAACACACCTGTGACAGATTAAGCGGCTGCTTTTTCTGGTCAGACATCCCTCCTCCTGCTCCTCCTCCCTGGACGTCCTCGGCAACCCCATCGATCTCCGCATTACGAGGGCGAGACGAACCCATGACGGGAACCTGCCCGCCGTCCTGTCCTACTGCCGCCTCCTTCATACCCTGACCGTGACTCTGATTCTGCCCCTGTATCATAGCCTGGCGCTGTTGCGCGTAGCCCTGGGGTGTAGGCGCCGCCTCGACCGGCGGCTGGCCCACCGACAACAAGTTCACCTGCGCCGCGATGTTTCCAGGCGCAGCTCCTTGCCGCTTTGCCTGAGTAGCACGCGGGAATAGGGTGTTGAATGATGAGTTCTCCGGAGACACTGCGGTACATTTGGCGACAGCAGTGAACGACTTACCCGACACGACCTAAACTATGGGGAAACAAGGCTCGGATCAAAGTCACACGATATGGATACCGCGACTACGCCACGCGGCGGCACTAAAATGTGCGTCGGCCGACACGCCAAATGCTTCTGACGGTCTGGATCACAACCTTTACGTGTTTCAAAGGTTGCTCTCATGTCTAAAAACCTGCGCGTGTGCCGTGAGCAATAGGTTGTCGTTACTTGTAGTCACCTGCTTAGCATCGCGATGCTTCTGTCGGTAGCCGTCCTCGAGTCCCCGCAGCTCGCCCAAGCACTCCTCCATTCTTCGCTCCTTCTCGCCTCGGAGCTTCTCGACTTTCTTGTCGAACTCCTCGCAATCCTAGCACGGGGGCAACCGCAATGTTGTTTCGCGACTTGATAAACAGCAAGGTTCTTCACGGTGCGAAACGCGCACGGCCTTTCGAAAAGCCGCTCGAACTCTACAACTACAAACATGATCACAATCTGGCTCGGCAGTTGAAGAACAACGACCTTGACACACACTGCCGCTACGCAGCAAGTGAAAAACGACACGATCCGGTTGCATTCCAACTGTTCCAGGATTGTCAGATAGGTTGACCTACAGTACTGGGGGTAGCGCACCTTCTTGTATCTCTCCAAAGCTCGCTTGTGCTCGTCTTGACGGTCGTTTCGGGCCGCCAACAAGGCCGCCAAGCGCGCCTCGTACACCTGAGTTGAGTTGGATTGGTTGACAACGAAGTCAAGACTACAAGTTGACTTTTAAATCAGCGCTCACAGCAATTGTGCCGCTTTACGCCAACCCGTGGTCACACAGAAAGGTTCCTCTCCCTGAGCGCCCCTATTCACGCCTCCTGCGATGCTTTGCCTTCGATTATTAATGCGAGAAGAGCGCAACACTTTCTTCCCTCTGCCTACACACGAACTAGCGCTTTCCACCCAGGCCAGGAACGGAAACGACAGAAAAACTAACTTTGCAAGGAAGGCTCGCTTGCGCCGGGATTCGAACCCCTGACCCTGGCCACCAGAAATTTACGAGGATACCAACTAGACTACCGGGGTGACCGGCTTAGTTGTTCCGAATTTCCGCAAAACGTGGGCATCAGTGTTGCAACATAAGAAGACTCCAAAGCAACCAAACGTAAGAAGTGAGTTGGTGCAACATGCTGTACGTAAACTGAAACAGTATGAAGCGCAGGTCTTGTGCTACCCGGCCCTTGCAGATGGTGCTGCACTCCACGAGCAATCACTAGGTCTCGAAAGGCGTACCAGTACACGCTACATCTTCGTTGACGGTGGTGCCACCCCTTCTCGGAGGCGTGGTGCATGTCGAGAGTCGCACCTTTTCTGCCTGACGTTTCTTCTTGTCATGAACAGCCTTCTTCTTCTGAAACTCGTCATCGTCTTCGATTCCTAGATCGTCATCCGAGCAAACCTTGTCCACTCCGCCGCCAAGGTAGCCTGAGTTTTTTTGTTTGGTATCGGTGGGCGGTGCGAAAAGTGGTACCAGATAAGGAAATGAAAAGGCCTGCGGATGACCTGAGGATTGCCGTGAGATGGCCGCCAAGACAGTTATGGTTTACGGGGAAACGTTCCAATGCGGTCATCCGACGAATCAGACAAGTACTTGAATCAAGCTCTCTACCGCACATGTACGACAGCTTTGTGGCGAGGTCCAGAGTACCCACGCGTCCCGCGGTGTGCAGGGTGGTGCACAAGCAAAGCTCACCTACACCGTTGTCGTTGTCCGCAGCCTCCGAAATGCCCACCGTCGCCCCATCTCCCACGCACGATCCCTGCGGAGTCAAACATTCATTTAACAAAAAACATTTCACAAGACATGTAAAATCTGCGGCCCGCCGCGTCTCCTATGCTACGCAGGGACTCACGGTAGTGCTGACAGAACATCGGCACCTTGGTTACTGGTTACACGTTAAGCACGTCATGCGCTACTGTTAACGCAGTTGCGCTGGACTACTCGCAACGTAGCGCTCTCAAGACTCGACGGGTTTGGTATGCGTAGCTCTGTGCACACGACACGATACGCTTGGAGGTCTCCAACCAGTTGTCCGCCTTTTCACTGATTAGCCAAAATAAGGTACGCCGCCAACCCAGAGATTGATCACAGTCGTGTATCTTTGCAATGCAAAGAGGGCAACGTACGCCGTTCTCTTATTTCACGGTGCTCATCGAAAATTCAGAAGTTAGCTCCAAACCTCATGTTGGGGACGCGTTCTTACCTGGCTCCCCCGATGTGTTCCAGAAGTAATATTCGTGTCGCTTCCAGTCCAGGGAAGGGTCGAGCCGGCGTTGGAATCCACCATCTATACGACGTACGTACAACGGGAACGTACAAGATCGGGGCCGGAAGACCAAGTGCTCACTCAATAACTGGCCGAAGCAAGGCAAAAGGCCGGAGGGAGGCGCCTAGTCTGCATACAAATATCGTATTGGACGTTTGTACTGCCGAACTCTTTTCGTACTTAGACATGCAACGCATTCTTCTGATACCGACAACCAATGCAGCCGCTCATGCTTGCGGGGAAAAAAATGATAAACTCCTGAACACAATCTGCAGGCAGGACACACAGCAGTCCGGCAGACACTGCTTCTCACCCTTCTATTGACCTGCCCAAGACCGTCAAAATCCATCAAATGGATACAACACCATTCCGCGTTCACCCACCTGGCCTACCAAACCGCTCGAGTTGCTAGAAACACGCCGGATCCTTCTTCTTCTGGCCTTCTCGGCGAGGTTGGTGATGGTTAGACTGATTTGTCCCAGCTCCTCGTCCGACAACCCCAGCTCTTTGATCATCTCCGCCGACACCTGCAGTGTTTCACGACGACGCACGGTTGTCGGATGGCACAAGGCGACAATGCAAGTAAGCCATCAACAACCGCCACACGGAGGGCCTCCGCAAAAAGATGGAACAAAAAAAAGGCAATGTCTCACGGATTCCGATGGGGCACGCCCTTCGCACTGCTGTGCCTCAACACGCAGCTGCCCCCCCATCACGTGAGTTTCTTTAAAAAAAAAAAATGCATGCTTGCTTGGTTGTTTGCAAGGCACATTCCCAGTTCGGCTGAAAAGTAATGACTGTAAATGTCCAACATGTGGGAGGTGGCCGATTCTGAAAAAACGAACCTGTTTAGGATGGTCGGTGTCCAGGTTGAAGTCGAACTCGACCTCTTGCAAACGCCCCTCGATGTGCGTGTGCATCACCAGCCTCATGATCTCTTGCTCCGACCCCTGGAGGTTCGCGATCTTGATCTCCGTTAGGCATCGCCCGGCGGAACCGGCGGCGCGCCCGGAAAGCATGTCTTGCAGTTCTTGGTCAGACTGCTGTGCCGACACCGGCGGGTTCTCTCCTTCGCCCGATGCGACGCCAGGTCCGTTCGCGTTGCTGGTTACCTCCTGCGGCTGAGCGCCGCCGTCGGCTCTCGGGGCCTGCTTCTCCGCATACTGCAAGCTTCCACCCTGGGGGCGAGGAGACGGGAAGGACGGCGCTGGCACCGTGGAAGCCGGCGTCATCGGCGGCGACGTGAGAGGGGAGGTCGGGGCAGGGGCCGTAGGGGCCGGCACCATCGGCGGCATGGAGGCGACAGAGTGTAACGACACTTCTGGGGGGTGGTCCAGGGGGGAAAAGGACCGTGCTCGTTGCAAGCCGACTGCCGGCCCCAAGGGAAGACTCGCAAAAAATCCCGGGTCTGACAACAGGCCGCCGTTAGCTGAGGCCGCGGCAGAGGGGTCGTTGCCGCCGCCGACGGTGGGAAACATCATCTCCGGAGAAACGGCACCGCTGCCTGGCCTTTGACGCCCCCCTGCGCTGTAGAAAACGGCAGGGTCGGCAGTCGGTGGACGTGGCGCCTGACCTGCAGGGGCAGCTATCGGTGGGCGTGGCGCCTGACCCGTTGGAGCGGCTGTTGGTGGACGTGGCGCCTGGGCTGCGGGGGCAGCCGTCGGTGGACGTGGCGCCTGACCCGTTGGGGCAGCTGCTGCTACCGCCACCACCTCAGCGGGACTAGAAACGGGTGCTCCAGACGTAAGGGGTGGTGTTTGGGCGGACGACGGCGCCACCTGAACAGAGGCGACGGTCTCCGCATCATCGGAGGGGGTACCCCCGCTTACCGCCGCCGCTGCTGTTACCGCTGCCGCCGCCACCCCAGCGGCCTTCTCCTCTTCTTCCTCGTCTTCTTCTTCTCGCCGCTGAACACGCCCGTCGGGCAGTTGGAGCACGCGCATAGACGACTCGTCTTCTGGCATGGCCCTGAGAAATCCCTCGGGGTGGCTGATGTCGTTCTCCTGTTCATCCTCGTCGTCATCGCTCTCGAACGGTGGGTTTCCCGGAATCTTACGGCCACCAGTCTGCGGTGCCTCTTCCGGCTCCAACACGGAGACTTCTGCACTCCCTCCAGCAGCTCCTTGCAGAGGAGGGTTTCCCTCGACTGGCTTCGCGTCACCCCCCTGCTCGCCACTCCCAGCTGCCGCAGCTGCCCCAGCTCCTGCTTCCCCGCCGATCTCACCACCAGTTGGGTCAGACATCAACGCCGCGGCGTAAGAAGGTCTCCTTGATGGCGTGCCTGTGTCCCCGTCACCCCCCCCAGGCGCTACCGAGCTCCCACCGCCCCCGCCGCTGTCGCCTTGGCTAGGGCCGGCGGTCGGTGGGAAAAAATTGGAAACTTTCGCCTGAGAGGCTGCCGCCGCCGCAGGCGCTCCCCCGCCACCGGCCTGCTGCTGGGCGTGTGCACTAGGTGTCACCGTCTCGTCGATCGTATCAAGCCCAGGTGTGCCCCGTTGAGCGGGATGGAGCACTCCCGGCAGCAGAGGATCAATTTTCGCCGGAACGTTTAAATCCATCCCTTGAGCTACTAGAGGAACACCTGCTGTGCTGGCCGGAATCTGCCCCCCCGCCCCTTCCGCTGCCAAGGGTTCAAGCATTACCAACGTGTTGTCCTGCGAACGAATTTCGTTTTGCGGAAGAGCACAATCGTCAGATATGTCCGTACTCAACAACCTCAGGGCTGGCATCACCTTCCCCTATTGCTGCCGGGATTTGAATACCGCCGTCTTGAAGCAAGGGGTCGCTCTCATGAACGTGGAACAGATGGCCTATGAGACATGTTTACACCTACCAGGTACACGACAAGGTTCGTATCCTAGCTCCTTCAGAGGAACGAACAACCAGACACACAAAACCAACATCCTAACGTGATTTTCGCACCTCTTCTTCGTTCTTGTCTCTGAGGAAGGGAAGATTCAGCAGGTCCATTGCCGAAGGCCGATCGTCTGGATCAGGGCTAAGGCAGACGCGAATAAACTCCCTAGCGCGAATGTTCTGCACCCGGTCTAACGCAGACGGCAGAATCTGTGACGTCACCTTGCGGTAAATCTTGACACGATCACAGCGTGGCAAAAGGAGGGTGGGGTGGACATGTTGACGGTTTTAAAGCGGTTTGCCATCACTGGCATTTTCATTACGCAGGGCAGCAAGATATACATAGCAGTGTGCGTCTCTCGGCAGTGTGTCCGTCAAAGCCCACCTCTGTTTCTACTCAATCTGTGCGTTGGGTTGGATACTGGACATTGTTATCTACACGCTACAACACGGCAAATAGAGCGTGGCTGTTTGTCCCAGCATGGGAGCGCATGAACGCACGGTACTCCCGTATACCGGAGTTGGCTATCCGAAAGCGCGCGGACTTCTTCTGGAGTTCTCCCACATCCCTCCCCGGAAAACCCGCCCCAAAAGCTTTTCCCCACAGGGGCATCCTAGATCTTCCCCTCCAAAGAAAAAGAGTGGTAAACACATCGCACATCGTCAACAACAAAAACGAGAGTTGGTGCATCATGACACCACGCACTGCTCTTGTTGTGACGCATCCCACTTCCTCCATACGCGTCGTCTCACCTGGGCGGCGTTTACACACTCGCTGTATGGGCGTTCCTTCGTGACCATCTCCAGCATGCACATCCCGAAAGCGTAGATGTCTACTTTCTCCGTGTAAAACTCCTCGTACAGCTCCGGCGCCATAAACTCTGGGGTTCCCAACACGCTCATTGTCTGACACGACGCGCGTGCCAGTCCCAAACCACGGCAGGGGGGAGGGGATATTGCATGTTGAGAGGGTGCATAACAGCTCCATCATGCAGTACACTCAAATGACTATGACTGGCCTAAAATCAACACCAAGCAGAATCCGCCAGTGAGGCAAATTACGCTATCCATCATTGAGAACTGTTGAGGCCAGCGCTGACTAAGCTGGCTGGCATTAATACGAAGTATCTGTTTTGGAGCTGTACCGTACACTATTTACAACACGGCAATGCTCCAAGTCAAATCTCTTGGTTGTGGTGTACTGTCGCTGTCTTGCATGAAAGTCGAGGTACTTGTCGCTCGTGCCGGTTACCCTTTAAGGTTGACCGTTCACTACAACGTGCTTCATTGTTTATACACTTCTGTGCTTGTGTCGTTGATTCTTCTGGCGTTGTACCCAGGGCCAAACGGGACAAATTGAACCATTGCAACGCAATAACTTCATGGCACCTTACGGTAACAGATACCAGAGGGAAATGACTTTCGGATTGTAACGCAAACGCTCTTGTTGCCATTGGAGTTAACTGCCGATGCCAGGACAGGACAGGCATTTACCAGCGACCTCTGTCTGCTGTGGATTGGCTACACACGGGAGAGTTGTGTGTCATGTCTTCCCGTAACTTCCAACATTTTATTTCTTTCTGAAACCATTTCTTATAAAATTTGCTTTGGTCTACAACTACACGCATAGCTCACTTGAAATGTGCTGGTCGAAGTCCGTCCACGCCATCCACTAATCTTGCTAAATAACAACAACAATTTCGCCCCCCCCCTTGGAATTAACGATTGGCCATCGGTGATCGGTCCTGTGGGAACAATGCTCCGTCCTCTCGAGGACGCGTGGTCAATGGTCTAACCGCTAAGGCATGCAAAACATAAGAGTACCCCCCCCCCTCCTTCCCGGAGACCTTGATTTTCATTTTTACCCGTTTGATCTGACGTGTCTTCCATTGGTCAGCGTGTGACAGACCAGCGCGGTCGAAAATGAGATAAAAAAAAACATATTTAGTACAACACAATGACAAACGTCTGTCTCCTTGTTGGTCAGCCCAGTAGCGAGGTCGATACTGATTCAACGACACACACAGATACCTTTTCCGATCGCGTGTTCGACGTCGAGAGCCCTAGGTCTCCGATGCGGATATCGCCGGCAGCGCCGTTGATGAAGATGTTGTCGCACTTCAGGTCGCGGTGGATGATCGGCGGTTCCTGGGAGTGCAGGTAGTGCATCCCACGCAAAATCTGGCGAGCCCACCGTTTCACCACTCTCCATCTGATCATTTCCACCTTGCGGATGAAACTTCACGTGGGGGTGCAAGGAAAGGAGCGGGGGCAAGGAACATCATAACGCGGAGGGAAGATGCGGGCGTGTGTATGTGGGCGGCAGTACAAACCGCCGCAGTTTTTTTTTTGTATTCCGAGGACAAGAAATGCCCACACACAGGCGAGCGGCAGTCAGCGCAAGTGTCCCGAGAAACAATAACCCAAGAGGAGAGGGAGAGGGTACAGTAGTAGCCCGCGAGAGAGGTCACGGAAGAGACTATTTCATCTTCGAGTATTCACAAGTACAACGGTATAACACAGCAGCTACTGCACTGCAGGGGACATCGATCAGATGGCGGTGCAAGAGGGATCGACGGAGGTATGACTCTCACTCGCGACACAACGACATACACGCACTCACTCCATCAGGGAACCGCTCTGCATAATCTCCGTGACGAAGATGACTTCTTCCCTCTCGCGGTTGACCCAGGACCCATGGAACTGCACCAGGTTCTTGTGCTCCAGGTTCTGAAGCAGCCGCACCTCATTCATGATGCGCTTCTTCTCGTCCTTGGGCAAGTTCTTGATGTTAACGGTGTTCCACGCCACTTCAATGCCCATGGAGGTGTCGTAAGATCGATATACGACCTTGTACTGCCCCGTGCCGAGCTTGTCTTCGAACCGGAGGTATCGTCCCTGCGGTGAAGCCTCGACATGGCGCTTCACCTGATTCCTGTCAGCCTCCGCCTTTTCGATCGGGTTCTCCACCACAGCAGTCTGTTGCTGTTGCTGCTGCGGCGGCGGTTGTTGCGGTACCGGTGGCTGCTGCTGCTGCTGCTGCTGCTGCTGCGGCTGCTGTGCTTGTCCCGGGGGTTTGCCTTCCTGCCCCTGCTGTACCGGTGGCTGCTGCTGCTGCTGCTGCTGCTGTGACTGCTGTGCTTGTCCTGGGGCTTTGACTTCCTGCTGCCCTTGCGCTTGTCGCTGCGGCTGCCGTTGCTGGGGACCGTCTACCGGAGAGGCATCCGAACGCTTCCCGCCGGCTGCCCCCGCCGCCGCCCCCTGCATATTCCCGCCATGAAGCTCTGCTTTCCGTTTCTCGGCCTCCTCCCGCCCCTCTTCACCGACGGGAGCTTCGCTCATCGGTCCAACGCACACGCAACACCAAAAGACTGCTGTTTTAAATCTCAAAACTGCTGTGTCGTCTATGTCTATCGAGCTCGTTGCTCGTTTGGATGATCGGATTCGGGAGGCTGTGCAGAGGAAAAGGCGTGTTGTCCATCCGGAGGCCCCCCTACCGAAAGCTTTCGGTATATAAAAAAAAACAGATCAGCTACACACACCTACACAACTTTGGGCGGGCACCACGTACACGGCGGGAGTTACCCGTGCAGAGGGACCATGGGCAAAGGTTCAGGTACGGCTTGAGAGACCTTCCTCACATACTGCCTCTCATTCCTGTTGGATGGCCATGCCGAAGGTGATCTGCAGCACATCTATCTCTGGTTCGCTCGTTTTTTTTAAATCATGAAGGCACTCTGGACATCAAAATCAAATGGAAGAAGCACACATTTTGACATGATGGCAACCTTATGACTTGGCCGGATAAACCCACACACAATCGCAAAATCGTTTCTGTCACTGGCTGTCTTCGTTGCTATTACTGTATTCAGGTGAAGCGGTAAAATCCAAGTCACCGGCGGAGTTCTTCGCGGACAACCAGAACATCGCCGGGTTCGACAACGTGAGGAGAAATAGTCTACGAAGGCTAGACATTTTATATTTGAAAATAGAGCGGTTTGGCTGACCAATAGCTACTGACCAATGAGAGGACGTGTATTATAATAGCGAGCTACTTGCTGTAATAGTTACAAACACTACGCACGTATAATTACAATTAGATAGTGAAACGCTAATAATACGGTTTCTCGTCATCGGGCTACCCGGCAGGGGGGGAGTGGAAGAGGTTTCGCAGCAGGGTCCAAAAGTGTGTATTTTTACGCCACTGGACGCTTACGATATAATTTAGTTTGTATCATACTTCTGCTGCAGGGCCGACCGCCTTGTGTAACTGGTTTACGATGAAAAGACGAAAAGACGCTACATGTATGTCCAGCGTCCGGCCGGTCCAAGTGTGTTCTGAATAAGTAGTACGCGATGCCACCACACGTATTGTTACAACACCTTTCACACGCGAAGAAACCGCGAGATACCCCCGGCAGAGCAGTGAGTGTCCCGGCACCACTCGGGGCACTCGGTATCGGTCATGTCGCCCGGGAGCGCGATATCACCGATCCCCGTGCGATAGTCGAATTTAATTAAACCATGTCGTGCGGGGGTGCGATATCACCAGTACGTGCGATATCACCGAACCGCGCGTTCTCTCGCTTCCTTACGGTAGTGCGCCCCCCACTTTGTGCGTAATAGGAGTGTACTCGTCACGCTGCTCTCGGCTTCCGGACGGTGGAAGCTTCCGATGGTATTCTCAACGAATGAGCAAGCGTGTAAAGCAGTTTTCATGTTGTGTACTTGGAAGTACGGCGGTCGTGCTGTGTCTAATCTATTCCAATCCTCTTCGGAGATATCGAAACTTTAACTTTGCCGTTTCTTGCGCTGGAGCTGTACGGTAGTGTGGTTCCAGTCGGTTCTTCTCTAGGCACACAAGCATGACTTTTTTCGTCGGAATTCACAACACATTTGAGGCACAGGAGGTGAAGACCACATGTCCCCTCAGGAATTGACGTTCAACGAGCTGACAGAAACATGTCGGCCCACCGGAACCAATCAACGGGGTTGCAGGCGGGTAAGTCTCTGTACACCACGATCAGGGAGCTGGTGGAGAACAGCTTGGATGCAGCCGAATCGATTGGGGCTCTCCCCCACATCTCCCTCACCATAGAGGAGTTCACGGAGGAAGAGTTTAACGAGCACCGCGGCATGGACAACAGGGACGTGGTCGACGCTGGCCTGTTTAAGGTGAATTTTGACGCTCGGCGGTAGCGGGTACAGCAGAAGTTCATGCCGACGACGGCGTGACCTCGTATAAGCAAGGGAGATATTGCGCCAGTTAAACGTCTTGGCGTCGCGTGCGTCACAACGCAGGCTTCAGGAGGGAAAAAATCGACAAGCAAGGCGACCAAGGCGCTTCCCAAGCCGGCGGTAGCAGAGGAAGGTTCGGCCGACGATCCTCAAGAGCCCTCGGCTGCCGCTGGGGCTACTGCTGCGGACCTTGACCCCAAAGAGAAGAAAGCCAAAAATGACAAGAAAGGCCGGTCTAAGGGAGATTCTCACTCCCTGTACTATCGGGTCAAGTGCAAGGACAACGGAGTGGGCATGCCACACGACAAGGTCGGTCTACCAGACCTATTTCTTGCGGGGAATGGAAGTATTCACGAAGGTTGCGTGAGTGGGCCGTGAGATTTGGGACTCGGCATTCACGCCAGTTGCGGTCCGCTAGATTGATTTGGGCCTCACGAGGGAGGTCGTGTGGTACTGCAGGCCTCTTGACTCAAGGCCAACAAGTGCCCAGATATCACCCCTGTGCGTCTCCAGCAAGACTCTAGGGCTGCGTGTTTACGTGTACTTTGACGTGTGTGTTGTGCGTACCCTGTCGGCCCACCCTGCAGATTCCGGACATGCTTGGTGTGGTGCTATCTAGCAGCAAGTATGGCGTGCGGCAGGCGCGCGGCAAGTACGGTATGGGTGCCAAGATGGCCCTAATTTGGTCGAAGAAAAGCACGGGGCTACCCATCCAGGTGTGTGCGTGTGTGCCCCGCGTGGTCGGTCGACTGAATGCACGTCAAGCGGCGCTGGCATCGATAAAGTTAGGCCCGGCGTCAGGGTTCCGCTTTGTAGCTGTGCGTCCCACCATGTGGCACGATGTGCACGGTAGCTTTTTGTTTGCTGTCGTATCCACACGGACATGGGAGAATCGGTCACGAAAGAGTTCACTGAATATCGGGGGTATTGAACTCATTCATGCCACACTAGTCGACAGGACCGTTGTCGTGGTGTCTTGCATATTTAGCCTGTGGGCCGGAGTCCGTAGGATACTCAGGCTGCTCCGTCTATCTACTGCTGTATTCCTCCGTCCGCGAAAGGTGGTGTCGGGCTGCAGTTCGGACGTCAAAGACCCTCCGAATTTCCTCACCAAGTGCGTACTGGATATCGACATCTACAAGAACCGCCCGTCAGTTCACGAGCATGTGAAACTTCCCAACCCGGAGGTAAGGAAGCGCGTTCCGTCGCCATCACGTTCAAGGATCCTCGCGTTGTCGCGTTCATTTTGGCACTGGCCGCGCGCGCTTGCAGTAGTCGACATGGGAAGCGAACAATGCATATAAAACAAAGCTGTGGTTGCTACGTGTTGTGGGAACACTTCCTGCTGCTTTGTGTAGAAATAACATCAGATATACCATAAACATAAAGATTGAGACGTGGTCATGGCCCCCCCCCCCCCCATTGCCCCCCCCCGTTAAACCACCGGGTTGTGACATTTGAACACGTACACGTGCGGCAATGCTCGCGGAAATTATTGCTTCCGCCAGGGCTGGAGGGGCACGGAGATGACCGTATGCGTGAGCGGGAACTGGCAAACCTACAAGTCCCGAGTGCTTCAGGTACGCGCCAAAGGGGTCGGGGAACCCTACTGTCCGAAAGGCAAAAAATTCTAGTAAGTGACTTGTGACTACCGGAAAGGGTTGTTGGACGTTGGTGCCGGCTGCAAGCCGTACACGGGAGGCAAGTAGATCATGAAATCGACGGACGCTGGTCTAGGCCCCCTCCTCATCAATGTGCCCCGGAGTATGATTTCGCATGTACACTCACGGCAGGAGAAACGAAAGATAGTTACGTAGTTTCCTGCCAAGAACGTTGGCGAGAGCACCCGAATTGTGGCGGTGTCTCCACTAAGAGTAGGGACGGTATTTGCCTTGCAAGGGATATTGAGTATGTATCGACCACACGACGTGT